GGTTCCCCCCCCCCCCAAAAAAAAAATTACCTGTCCGACTATGACGCCTCGAAATTAGGCCGTAGAACCCCCGAAAGCCCCAAAGCCCCTAAGCCCTATGAATGCCTCGAAGTTAAGCCCTAAACCCCTTAGCCCTATGAAGGCCTCGTATATTGTAAGCCCGAAACCCCTAAGCCCTAAAGCCCTACATTCAGGATCCAAGTGCGATAGTAGAAAATGTGGAAGAGTTCCTGATCTCATTCTCATAGGTTCCGCATTATGACCATACTGAATATATCATAAGTATTCCTATGATTATTATTCCTGTTATTATTACGGCCCCGGTAGTGGAGTTTTGTAGCTGCCAGGAAGGAAGACGTAGATCCCGTAAGTGGTTTACAAAGTGCACTTTCGCAGTACAGGACCAGATAGGGTGCAGGTTTCTGCTTCCCAGAAGATCCTCCCGAAGGTCTGTTTAGGGTTTAGGGTTTAGGACTTCTCTCACAGAACCGTTGCGGAGCCTTTTTTGTTCAAGAAGCCCCTTAAGGAAGCTGAAAAGGCACGCGAAGAACCCCAAGCCCTGATCCCTGGACCGTACCCATAGGCCCCGAGGTAGTTCCTCTTTATGATTTATATTTAGAATCCTAGAAGGTAATCCCAAAAAGGAACTTATGATATGGGTAGAAAGGGATCTCACCTTCAGGACTTCTCTTTGTACAATGCAACGTACCGCGGCGGAGTGTCGGAGAGTCTTGCAGCCGAGCTGGGTTGCAACAGGAGCATCAAGGACAACTTGGTGTTGTGTTGGGCTGATCAGTTTGGGGGTTCGGCCCACATAAAAGAGCCAACTTCAGAGAAATGTAGGCGAATCCGAGGACACCAGTTTAGATTACCGGATGACAGGGGTACATATGATTGTTAGCAAGAGAAGAGCAGCAAGCAGGACCAGGCCTTCACGTACTTGGGCTGCAGCGCCGACGATCCCAGATCTTGCCTTCCAGACGCCTGTTTTGAGGAGGCCAGGATAAATCCGACCCCCTAGAGCCCCTAAGCCCCAACCGGTAAACCCTAACCCCTCGGACCCTGAGCCTTGAACCCCAAAGCCCGAAACCTTAAATCCGAACGCCATAAAGCCGACAAACTCTGAACCGTCGACAAGGCCATCCTCCTTCGCTATGCCATGAAGCTCATCCAGAACCACGACCCCTCAACGCCACTGTTCCTCACCTTCTCCTCACAGTTTGTCCACCCGCCTTTGGAATCTGGGCTCTTTTCAGGTACTTAGTAGCGCAGGTTGCCATAAGCAGGGTTCTACGGTTGTATGTACGAGGTTTTACTTATGTGGTCGAAAGATCTGAGTTAAAAAACTTGGCCCCTCAGAACAAAGGCACCAAGCCACGAAGGGCGTACATCATCCAAAAAAATACAGTCTCCTAGCTTACACGATGCTCCCTAGCAGGAATCAACGAAGTCAGCCTTGGACTTGGAGGACAAAATCCAAAAAATCTTTGCTTCGCTTGGCGTTCGAAAGAGGATTCCATGGACCACTACCAGGAAGAGGGTGGCTGCAAACCTGCTGTACCTGGGGCAGATTAGATTAGGATAGTGTACTCGTAGGTTTAATTAGATGGATCGATCGAGCGCTAGATCGACAGATCGGTAGGCCGATACATAGTGAGATAGATAGACTGTCATACAGACAGATGGATGGGCAGGCAGGTAGGTAGGTTGGTAGGTAGGTAGGCACCAGATAGGTGGATGGGCAGACCAATAGATGGATAGATAGACAGATAGATAGATAGGTAGAGAGGTGGAAATTTACTACATAGATAGATGGATAGACACGTTGACAGACAGATAGATACGTAGTTGGAGAGGTACATCAATAGACGGATGGCACATAGGTAGATAGGTACTTTGCCGGCGGATCGATGGATAGATACCTAGATAGACAGATAGTCAGAGACATAGACAGATGGGCACGTGGACCGATAGTCAGAGAGATAGACAGACAGACAGATAGGCAGATATTCAGCGGGATATCCTGGTTGGTAGATAGACAGACAGAGTGGATCCGCACATCTTTCGGTCGATAGATCGAAAGATAGGTAGACACGTAGGGACGGACAGATGCACACACACACAGAGACAGTATATATGTACATATAGTTATACATAAGTACATACATGCATGCAGACATGCATCCATCCATCCATCCATCCCTATATGCAGACATGTATGCATGCAAACATACGTGAATAGGTACATACATACATACGTACCTAGACCCATACACATACATACTGTACTCACGTGCACACACACACATATACACATATACCTATCTACGTTCATACGTTCACACATGCATGCAGACATGCAGCCATCCATTCATCCAGCCATGCATCCATCCATCCCTGCATGCGTAAATTTGCATATACTTATTTATATACACACACACGCACTAAACCACTATCTATATATATATATATACATACACAGAGGTATGCACACACAAACACATATGTATGTAGGCATATATATATATACACACACACACGCACATATGTGTATGTGTCTGTATACATCTGCGTACATATATATATATGTATATATATATACACACATGCATACATGCTTACACTTACACACACACACATGTACACGTACAGCATATGTGCATCTACATGTACATAGACATAGGACTACATATATATATGTGTATGTATATATATATATGTATGTATATATACACACACATATATATATATAGATAGATAGATAGATAGATAGACATGTACATAAACTTGTACATGTACATACATATATACAAACATACATACATACGTACATATGTACATATGTACATATGCATATGCATTTGCATCCACATAAACTTGTACATGTACATACATGCATACATACATGCTTACATGCATACATGCGTACATAGATACATGCATCCATACAGATACATACATACATACATACATACTTACATACTTACATACTTACATACTTACTTACTTACTTACTTACTTACTTACTTACATGCATACACACCTACATACATACATGCGCATACAATCATACATACACGTACATGCGTACATAGATACATGCATCCATACAGATATACCTACTTACATACATACATCCATGCATACATACACACATATTACATGGGTACGCACGCATGTACATACATATCTTGCACATAGGAAGGAATTCGTTTATTGTGTTAACTGGGATCGTGCAAACAAGCTGCATTTCAACCACCCGAAACGGGGATAGCTAAATGGAAATGCAAACCCTGGGCTGGTAAAAGGCTGGTTAGCTGGTGATCCCAAGCAAGCAGCCAGGTACAGTGACCTTGTCATGGGAAAGCTCGTTGACGCATTGAAGGAGAAAGGCATGTATGAGGATACGCTGGTCGTGTACATTTCGGACAACGGCGGAGGAACACACTTGAGGGCTGGCGCGAACAATTATCCATTGAAAGGAGGTAGGTTTAATGAATCTAGCCCTGGTCTTGAGCACGTTTTGTTTTGGGGTTTTGGGGTTTAGGGTTTAGGGTAGGTTTGCTGAATCTAGACCCGGTCTTGAGCACAATTTTCAGTTTTAAGTCGCCGGGCAGATCGCGGAGAGGAGCTGTTCAAGATACTGGCCCGGTTTTTAGGCAATCCACAGATCGACTGTGAAGCAATCCAGTCGTATTTGGTTCCGGTTCTACTTGCTTACGAGGTTAGGGCCATTCTAAACCCTAAACCCAAAATTCTTGTGAGGGACTTTAAACCCTAAAAACCCCCTAGTCTTGTGAGGGACCTTAAACCCTAAAAACCCCCTAGTCTTGTGAGGGACCTGGGCCTCCTAAAGCATAAACTCGAGGCCAAAGACTATTGTTTGAGACGGCCGATGCTGTACCACATGGGATTTTCCGAAAATTGCTGTACCTTATTTTGGGATGCTTATAATAGGGTTCCTACTATTTAGAGTACTATAGGGTCCCCTATTTTCGGAAGCCCCCCACACCAACCCTAAACCTTAGAAGCGCGGCCCAGGAATGGGAGGGGGGAATTCGCACCAATGCTTTCATATCTGGTGGCTTTGTTCCACTCCACCACCGCGGCAGCCTTAGTGTTTGAGTGTTTAATGGTGCTTAGGTTTTATGATTTGGGCTTTAGGGTTCTGTGTCTGTTGTTTGGGGGGTATCATTGTTTCGGTGGAGTTTGGACTCATGCTTAGGGTTTGGTTTAGGGCATTAGACTCTGGCGAGAATAGGGTTTGGTTTTAGGGCATTAGGCTGTGGCGAGAATTTCAGAGTTTAGGGTTTAGGGGGGCTTTTACTTCTAACCGAGCACTGAGGTGGCAGCAGCTTCCACGGAGTCATCCACATTGCCGATTCTTGGGCTTCAAACAACCCTAAACCTAAAGCCCTGAAACCCACCTGGCAAACCCAGACGCCTAAACCCTAAACCCTAAACCCATGCAACTAAGCCGCCAAAACACTGAACCTCAGGATCGGCGGTTGAGACCGAGGGTTTCAAAATCACACCGAAGACCCCTAACCCTGAACCCTGAACCCTAAACCCTGAACCCTGAACCCTAAACCCTAAAACCCTTTACCCTAAAGCAAAAGCCTGAACCCTGAACCTAAAGCCCAACAAAGGGCTTAAGAAACTTACGCACACCAGTGAGCATGTTCCCGGATTTAGCAGGCCTTGTAGCATCCTCATGGTCTTCATGGCCATTGCAAGAACATAGTCATATGATGAGGATTTAGGGTTTAGGGGAGTCATACGAGAGGTTGAAGAACTAATACCAGCATTTCTTCGTAGTATACATAACCAGGCTAGAATATACCCCAAACCCTCTTAACTGCTTGTTCGCTGTGTTTTGGGTACCTAAAGGTGTAGTTACGGCTGCTTAAGGAATAGTCAGCCCACTCCATAGACAACTTGGCTTTGAAGGAAGCTTTTCGATTTCTTAGCCCAGCATTCTCGGTGGTGTCCATCAGGAACATCGAAGCCACCCACAGCAGGGACAGTCGCAGACTTCACCGAACAACCAGAGTAATTGCCATCATCGTCGTCCTAACCGTAGAGAGCATCACCATAATCATGAATGGTCGCCCACAGCTTCACTTAGTAGTCGTTGACGCCTGTCGTCCTCGATGCTGTTGGGGGAAAACGCCCAAAAACCCTAAAATCTCCATGTTAATCCAATTGACAGTAAATATAAAAAATAGTATATTTTGATTGAACCAAAGAAACAATTATGCCTTCGCTGATGAACGAATATATGCAATAAATCAAGGAACAGCATGCAATCAGTGTGAAGCTTTGTGAGGTTGATTTTTCGACGAATTCGTTGCACAAAAAGATTTTCAACATCTGGATCTTGAAACTTTACCCATTGAATCGACACAGCCTCAATTTTTGTTAAGCTTATCGTCACAAGTATACTTGAAACACAGACACTTCACTCTCATCAGACTCCAGCTCCCTCTCTGCTGCAAGAACTGGTTCAGCAGAGTTTTTTTAAGTGGAGAGAATCAACTAATTCAGATTCATAGACAGTCATGATCCCTGCAAGTCATAAACATATCAATAGACGAGCATCATAAACGGGCGAAGCACAAAGGTTTGAGATCTACTGTAGTCGCCGTCTGTCGTTAAACTTGGCGGCATTTGTAGGGAAACCTACGATGTTGTCTGAACTTCGGCAGTCAAGTATCGACATTTCCGTGTCTCGGCCTGTTGCATCCATCCATGACCCGCGGCATCCATGTCCAAGCCCGACAATGGCAGCAGCCACGTCACACCGAATCCCGGGCAGACCGAGTGATCCAACAACCCTGGAAACGTCGTCGCCATCGAAACACAAAGCCTACTTCATCTGACCATGGAAGACTTAACACAATTTTGGGGTTGAGACTGCGAATAGGGCCAACGGGACTTTCCGGGATTGCGTCAGGGTGTTCCAGGATTTCACAGGGGGTTTGGTAGGGTGTGCTTTATTGCCTGCTTGTTGATGGCTTGGGCATTTTGCCTTGTTTTCTGTTCAAACCCTTAAACCGTAAGCCCTAAACCCTTACACCCCTCAACCCTTAAGCCCTAAAGCCCTTAAACCCCCAACCTCTTAAACCCTAGTAGCCTAAACCCTTAAACCCGAATGGAGGGGAGAGGTCTGCGTCCTGATGTCCCCCGCCAGTGAGCGGACCTGGAGGCTCGAGGTGTGGTGGTCATGTGTAGACCCATAGGCTCCATACTGTTGATGATAGAAATCCTGCATTACCTTAAGGCCTTAAGGACCCTAAACTATGGGAATTATGGTATATTCCCTGTTTATGGGTAATGCAGGATGTATATCATCAACCGTAGTCCAGGCTTCTCCAAGTACCCTCAAATAGGGGGTATATGGTCCCAAATTAAGGGTATTTAGGGCCTTTAGAGGGTAGATGGAGGGTCTAGGGTAGTTCCTTTGTGTGGTATTTTAATTTAGGATCCTATAAGGTAATCCCAAAAAGGAACTGCTATGGAGCCTATGTGTAAACTTACAGCTATGTTAGGCAGGAGGGGGTTGTAGGAATTCAATCTGGCTTCATAGCGAATAAACTCAAGCCATATACAGCTCTAAAGCCCTGAGCCCTGAGCTCCTGAATCTTACAGCCCTAAGCGCCAGGCCTGACAATGCAGATTTAGGATTTTTGGGTTTCTGTAACCTTCAAGCCCCAAACCCTAAACCACACAAAAGCATAGGTTTCCGTAACCTTAAAGTCCCAAAACCCCTAAACCCACAAAAACCAGCAGAGCTTGAGGATTGGTACCCGACTCTTTGCAGCTTGGCGGGTGTGAGCCACTTCGACGAGGCGGCTTCGGAGGCCAACGAACGCCTTCGCCAACTGGGTTTGCCTCTCTTGGGCCCAGTGGCTGCTCGGTCTGGCCTTGAGAGGTTTAGATCTAGAATCTACCTTAAACTACCAAAGCCTACTTTTTTGTAGGGTCCCTATAAATTCCATATTAGAGTTTATATTAAGAACCTACAACAAAGTAGGGTTTCGTAGTTTAAGGTAGTGCCTGCCTCTAGCCATGTAGAATCGCGTGGCCGTAAACACTCATAGAAGCTCCCACAACTCCTACATGGATCCAGTATGGAAGGGGTCGTATTCTCAGCCATTCCACCGAAGGTCCAAGTATCCCTTGAAACCTTCACATCTCACCTATAGTCTCCATTGTAATTCCTTTTTGGGGTTGCCTTTTAGGATCCTTAATACAAAATTGGTTAAACCAAAAAAAGGAACTACAATGGAGACTATAGGCAGTACCTGAGGATGGCCGACCCCAGATGGAGCACATTCTTGCTGGCAGCAACGGTCGTGCGGATGCCCTTCACCTGAGCAAGAGACTGGGTTTTAGAGTACCATACTTGCATACTTTTTTTGGGACCTGTTCCTTAAAGGAACCATTATAAGCTAAAAGTCTATACTTTTGTCTCCCTGGTTGCTTCAAAGTCCAGGAGATCTTTGCTCAAGTGGCCCTACAAGCTGGTCGGAGCTTGGAAAAGCCCTACGGTTGATGCTAGAAATCCTGCATTGCTGTACCCATATAATACGGAATATACCATATATTCCCGTAGTTTAGGGTCCTTAAGGTAATGCAGGATTCATAGCATCAGCCGTAGTGTAGTGTGTTGGGGGGGGGGTGGCCTTAAAGTCCCTACCTGATTTGGTGGGAGGTATAGTACCTGATATCATATGCAAAAACCCTAACATCTCACCTGCACGTATTATGCCTCGACCCCTAGTGATGGGACTTGGAAACTTCGCGGTCCATTGTCGGGGTTCCGGTTTTGAGGTCTGGGCTGCAGGGCTAGGGTTTAGGGTTTAGGGTTTCGAGTTTAGACACGGACCCGGCAATAAAAAACTACACGGACCCACTTTTTTTGGCCCTAACCCTTAACCGGAGGGCCCCTTGAAGGTGACCGGGAAGCAGGAATACAGTTTTTGGCAAGGGCCTGTCTTTCCGAACTGCAGCAGCGACCGCCCAGCGTTTGCCTACGTGGATGCTTGGCTCTTGATTCTGTTGAGCTTACCGAGTAGAGTTAGGGGTTTAAGGTTTAGGGGTTTAGGATTTAGGGCATAGTGTTAAGATGGAACACAGATATCATAACGTGTAAAGGGAGGGCTTAGGACCTATAGAGTGTAGCCCATTTCAGAAGAGCATAATCTTCCTTGGCAGGGCAACTGATCCCATCTTTCCCCTTCCAAAACTGGCTCCAATGACAGCACAGCCTAGACGCTCCGTGTACCCTTATTAGACCCTAAATACCCTTAATTTTGGGACCATATACCCCTATTTGAGGGTGCTTGGAGGGTCCTGGAGGATGTTCTTGGGCACAAAGTCCGAATCGACAAGAACGACTCCTCTTACATGGTGAACGCCATGGTCGAGGATTGCGGCGATGGCTGCCTTTTCAACGTGGATGCCGACCCTGGTGAGTACCAAGGCTGCATATGCATATACATATGCAGAAACATATACATATACATATACATATACATATACATATACATATACATATACATATACATATACACATACATACATTCACACATGCATACATGCATACATGCATACATACATTCATTCATTCGTTCTTTTTTGTGCAGACATACAGACATACACACACGCAGAATCCCTTCGCCTTGAATATAAATAACAAAACGGAGGGAGGGGGGCGTCCCCGCAACAAAGATCTCGAAACGTGTTATTCTTATTCTTAGCCTTTTTCATAATTAGGGGTATGTGTATCACGACTGTCACATTTGGGAGGATCTTGCTCCTTCTATGGCTCCTGCTACTGCTCCAGCTCCTGCTGCGGCTCTTGCTCCTGTCAGGCTTTGTTCTTGCTTTTGCTCTTGCAGCGGCTTTTGCTCTTGCCCGTGCTATTGCTGTTGCTCCTGCTTTTGCTCTTGTTCGTGATCCTACTCTTGCTTGTGCTCTTCTTGTTGATCCGCTTTTGCTCCTGCTCTGGACTTTACATCCCCCTAGTTTAGGGCTTAGGGTTTTCATTACAGACGAAGTTCAGTTTGCATCTCGAGCATGGCTGTGTTAATAGTTTATTCAGCCTTGGCTTGTTTAAGACCCACAGTTTTGCACAATGCAGGAAATCTCACTTAAACTCACTGTAGGAATCAACTATCCATTTGGCAAGTCGTTACGCGATGTGATTGCCAAACAATCATTGAATCATTGATGAACCTGACCCTCTTTGTCCTGCACAAGCAATCCCTCCTGGAAGAGTTTACTGCCGGAAGGCCAGTTCGCTGATTGTTTTCGGCTGGTTTTTAAGCATGGACATTCCCTCGTTGGCTTTTGCGCACGGACATTCCCTCGTTGTTTCCGAATAAGACTTTCTATGGAAAATCGAGTTATACGAAACTTCGCATACTGGCTTGAAGGACACTCTATGTAAGATGTCTACTTGCGTGTGCTTTGTGTTTGCATGGGGGGTTCTTCAATTGTCTTTTTTCATGTTTTCATCGCTCTGGCGGGTCTTTACAGTAACAAGCTCTAACCAGTACAATAACAGCAGTTCGCGACACGATTGCAGCACACATGATTGTTTCATGGTCATCATTTGCTAGGTGTAGCATCCTTACGACGACTCTGCAAAAGACTAACTCGCAGCTCAACCAATGAAGGAACGGACATGACTTACTGCAACTGATGCACAGACTTAAGATGAACTGATCTCTGAATAATCATGTAACGTATTTTGTATACAGGCAAGATATCAAGAACCAACTTAAACTTTAAACTTACTGGCATACAAAATGTTGTAAGCAGCCACATGTTTATTTCTTGGCTTTTCAGCATCAATAACACTCATCCCGCTTCAATGTGTTACCAGACTAGCCCGTCAATCATTCTATCAAAGCACAGGTGTGGTTATCCAAGAAGCAAGGCTTGGGAGTCAAATGCCGATCAGCATGTGAGTAAATGTACCATTCAACAACTGATACATGGAGCGAATAATCTTTGGTTGGCCCGAAATAATGTCAGAACGAATTGCAAGAAACAATAAGAGGAGGTACAGCAAGCAGAACGGTCGCTGTAGCCAAGGCAACAGCGACATTGGTAGCGGTAATGTATCTATAGCATTGATAAATGTGATACTGGTAGAAAAACTGCACTGACCACACTTGATACGATAGTTTATGCATAGAAGAAACTATTAGAAGTTTAGATATGGCTCAGAATGAAAGTGGAGGTTGCATAGGTTTGTGGGTGTCTAGTTCCAGAAACTAGCGATACCCAGTAAAATAGTGGGTCACGAATAGCTACGAACAACTGCTATCCCTAAATATTTCGCTGTTAATCTGACACATACACCTGAAAACTTGTGTAATGACACTTGTCTGTCAATACGTTGTTGCATATACAACTTGTATGAAGTCGTCAAGTATTGATCCACTGTTATTCTTCTTAACGTAAAAGACTGAAAATCAAATAAATGAACAACAGTGGACATGACTGTGCACAAATAAGTGGAAGCTCAATAGAAGTCTTTTGTGTTTGTATCTTTCAAACGACGATAACGACAGCTAGTTAAACATGACCACTACTCACCTTGATACGAAATCGGCGTGAAAAGACTAAGAATCGCGAAAGCATCAACCCATTCAACCAACGGTATGGTTTATTCAGGCTATATGGTTGATGACTGATACTTCTGAGAGATCTGTTGCAGTTGTTACTCAAGTGCGAGGCTTAGCAGGCTTAGCCATCCCGTTTGAACATACGGGCATGTGTAAGCACAAGAACTGGATGAGGTAATGTGTTCTGAAACCGTTGGTACCTGGTCATTCATGACAAAAGCATGTTTGCAAAGCCTGTAGAGCAAACTTACATAAATCAGTAGTTGCAGAATCCAAAATAGAACTGTATAGAGGCTCTGGTTTAAGTTTAATTTTTTGAGCTTTGGTATGGGATTTTCCAACGCAGGCCTGCGACACCAAAGATGCAGGACGAGACAAAACAAAGAAAGACACAAAGATCCAGAGAGAATGCCGGAACTGTTACTTGCTTCATGTGTTTGTTTGTTTTGAGTTGTTTAGTTTTATGTGTTTTTGCTTTTGTGTTTTGCATTTGTTGGTTTGGGTGTTCCGAGTGCTATGGAGAATTGGCACTGTGAAATAAAGCCCCGAAAACCAAGCACAAAAACAACAAACATAAACACGAAACAGTTCCGGCATTCTCTCTGGATCTTTGTTTTTGGTTGACTCAGGCTGGGGGGGGTTCAAGCCATAGCACTGCAAACCAACCAAGACACGCGCATATCAACGCAGTTCTGGCATTCTTTGCGGATCTTTGCTTTTTGTTCTTTTTGTCATCGGTTGAATGGTCGAGGCCCGACCAGATTAAACGGAGCGGGCTCTCAAAGGTGGCTGTGTGTCATGGGGAGGGGGGGGTGGTGGTGACCATCCACATATACGCATGCATATATATATATATGTTTAATTGTTTTATTTATTTATTTATGCATCTCTCTCTCTCTCTCTATACGCGTGTGTGTGTATATATATACATATATACATACATCTTACAGTTTTTTGTTGGGGCGGGGTGCACGGGGGGGCGGCAACCTAGGCACTCGAATCTTGCCTCTCTTCCGGAGTATGCGGATGTGCTTCTTAGCTTCTGAGTCTATGCGCCGTTTTGTTTCGGGTTATGCAGCCCGAATCAAATTCCCTAAGGGTCCAAGTGCCCATTATTTAAGGACTTTGGGGCCTTTTTGGGTACCTAGAACCATAAATAAGGACTACTTGGACCCTAAGGGATTATAATTATATCCGAATCCCGTACACCTGAAACCAAGGCCCTAAACACTCCAAACCCTGATCCTCAGCTCTAAACCCCCCTCAGCCGGGAAACGGAGGCTTTCCGACATGTTGGAGGACAGGGTTGTCCTTTTGAGAAGGCTTAACCCTAAAACCCCTAAACCCCTAAACCCCTAAACCCCTAAACCCCTAAACCCCTAAACCGTGATCTTCGGACTTGGGGCATCTTCGGAGTCCCTTCTTTGCTTGCCCGAATTGCAGCTCCCTCTACCCGAAAAC